AATCATGTGGGACTAAACTACCAGAATATTACAGGCATATTTCTGAGCCATGAGCTGAGGGGAAAAAAGCTCAATAATGATTTGGCTGCTTGTTCTTAATAAAACCTTGCCAGTGGAGCCGAATCTTTGCCCTCAGAACTGGCTCTGCTCTGCTGCAACAGCATCAGTGGATTGTTGCTGAAAGTGGGGCAGGGTGACCTTGACGCCTGAACTTCGTAGGAAGGAAAGCTCCCCATGGACTCCTGCAGCTGCGGGGAGCAAGAGGTCCCTGCCTTTCCTGCCCACCCACCTGTGCTATAGTGCAGTGCTGTGTGGCTGCCCTCCGGGCCTCCCCTTGGCTGTGGCCCAATGGTGGTGCCTAGTCAGGTGACAGCTCCACTTGTCCTGCCCATCCTGCAGGTGAGACAGGGTGGCCAGGTAGATAGTGTGCAAGCTATTTCCAGGTTCCAGCACCTTCCATCCCAGGCAGTTGTTAAGGAATGGGGTGGGGTGAGAAAAGGGCTTCTGCCCTTTGGGGAGAGAGGAGCTTACACAGGGCAGGCACAGGCCCATGCATCTCTTATCCTGTGACAGGTTGGGCAGAGGTGATGGGAGGAACTCCTTTCAATAAGGTCTGCCTCCAGCCCTTGGCAGCTGCCCACAGTCCAAATGTGGAGGACACCCTTTCCCTGAAGTTCATGTCTGAGGTTGTTGCCCATGCTTTGCTCTAGGAGCAGATCAGTTGCCTAAAGACTAGTGAGCCCAGGAGCCTCAGAACGGAGTCAGGGCAGAGGCCCTGCAGTCCTAGATTTGTGTGCTAAGACACTGACCAGAAGTGAAGAGCACAGTTATGTACCTCAGAGGGCTGTCAGAGTCAGGGGGGAGTGAAAAGGAGGCCTGGATGCAGTAGCGACTGTCCCCAAGCAGAGGGGTTAGGAAGCATTTGAGGGAAGAGCCAGTGCATCTCCCCCAGATGGAGGGGATGGTGAGCTTTAATCTGCCTAGCAGTCCACTTCGGAGGGAAGGAAAGTGGACTGGTCTGATGGGTGGGGTGCAAGGCTTGAGGGGCGTTGGGCTCAGTGTTGCAGGAAATGGGAAGTTATTGGAGGGGCCTAAGCAGCCAGGCCAAGTGCGGGCAGGGATCTGAACCACATTATCCTGACTGTGTGAAGGGTGTAGGTGACTTCTGAGAGGAGAAGTCTTGCTCCTGGACACCAGAAAAACAAGCCTGAAAAATAAGAGGAAATCATTCCCATTGGCAGGAGTGCAAGAATGAGTTCCTCCTCTGGTCTAGGCCTTGGTTGGTGATGAGCCCCACCTGTTCAGACCTACTCACCCTTACTTCCTGATGCTTTATTTCCAAGTTCCTGGTACCTGGGATACCTTAATTCCAGTTTCTCACCCTCTGTATGGGGTCAGGCACCTCCAAGTGGGGAGAAGCCCCAACTTGTAACTGGTCCCAAGATAAAGAAGCCTTGGCTCTGCAGGGACCATTGCCTGAAACTCCTTGACACTCATGGTGGCAGTCATGAACTGGCAGAACCCTGAAACCCAGCCTGACCCACAGATACCTAGGAGGGTCTAAGGTAGGAGCTGGATTCCTGGTCCAGCAACTACATTCCAGTCCATCTCAACTCTGACCTTGGGCCAGAAGCTGTCAACTTACTTCCAGTAGTGTAACCGGGGGGTGCCATGAGTTCCACTTGAGTTGGGGACAGCTAGAAGGGGTGGAACTTCGAGCTCAGCCCAGCACAGGGTTGCCTTATGCTTCTAATGGGCAGGTACCACATCTCTTGTGTGTGCTGCTGGCGTGTAAATCCTGTGTCTGGAACAGACTCTAGCATGCACCTAGAACATGCTTTCTAGTTACTGAGTACACATGTCACCTGTGATAGTTATTGTGGGAATGCCCAGAAAATATTGGCACTGGAAGTACCCTGTGCCTAACAGTTCCTCTTGTATAATCCCCATTAGCCACTTGCTGTATTAAGATTTTCTCCTACCTGGACGTGATCCTGCAGACTGGTGCTAATCCATGGCCCGTGGCTGGTGTAATAAGGAGGGACATCTTGGTATTAGAAGAGATTGCTGGATTTCTGGGTTCTCAGTGGCTTCATAAACTTCCCTTTCCTTTAGTGGCTTTGGGATCCCACTGATTCTCTTTCCTCTCTGTTCAGCAGCATTAGAGAAGAGCCTATTGGGAAGGAGCATTAGTGTCTTCCTGCCTGTGTCCTCATCTTGCTCCCTGACGCTCTCCCCCTTCCTGAGATGCACAACGTCAGTATCACTACTGAGAGAACTTACCAGTGGGTTCTGAGGTCCTGAGAAGGCCAGAACCTACCGTTGTTTCTCCAAAAGGTGGATGCTCTGCTTACCTCAATTCTGTCTGCCTCTTGTTAGCTCAGGGTTGCCCACTGCACTTTTCCTTCGGGGGCTTCCTCGCCTGCTCTGCTTGTGCCCTTGTGATCTCAGAGCTGAATCTCAAGGTCTGACAAGCCCCACTTTCACCTTCATGTGAAATTTAAGGGGACATTTAAAGCCTTTGGAAGCTTTTTGCAGCCTAATTTCTTTCAAAAGCAAAAAGGGCCATTTCCAGGTAAAAACAGAAAGAGATCTTGAATGTTACTGCTTATCCTAGAGATGTCCTTCCAGAATTACGGTTATTCTGACACCAGCTGGTAACTTGCAGTTTAATTCTGGCACCAACCCCTCAAAAGCAGGCTCAGACTCCCCAAGACTGCCCTTACTTCAGATGCCAGTTGCAAGTGCGGTCGTAGGACATCTGAATTCTGACCAAGTAGCCACAAACCCAGGAGGTTCAGAGGACCTCTGAGATACAAGAATTTAGAACGACTCAGAGGACTCAGGAAAGCCCTTTATGTATGATTACAGTTTTATTAAAGGCTGTAGTCAGCTAATAAAGGGACACACAGGAAGGCTGGCGGGGGGGGGGCGCGGGGGAAGCGGTCCTGAAAGCAGAGCTCCCGTGCCCTCTCTCCATGGAGTTAGTCTGTGACCCTCCAGCATACCAATGTGCTCACTCACCAGGAAGCTGCACCAGGCTTTGGTATCCAGAAGTTGTACTGGGATTTTATTATGTAAGCATGATTGATTGAGCATTGGCTGTGTGATCATGAACCTCCATCCTCTCTGCGGTCCCCAGAGGTTTGACTGGCTCCAGTTCCCAACCCCCTAATTACACAGTTGGCAGCCTCATCCTGAGGCCACCTGTGGGCTCACCGTCAGTCACCCTATTAGCATCATCAGCTCAGGTGTGATGGAGCTTGGGCAGCTTGGCATTAGACAAGATTGGTGGACTCTGCGTTCTCAGTGATTCCATAAACTTCCTTTTCCTGTAGTGGCTTTTGGGACACCACTAATCACTTTCCTCCATGGGTAGTGGCCCTAGGGAGACATTCCCCTTACTCAGGAAATTCTAAGCCATGCATTTACAATCCCCCATCTAGGAATCGGGCAAAAACAGGTCAGGGTATTCATTACACTAGGAGTGTTGGTTGTATTTTTTGTCCATCATTATGCTGTTCTGGAAATGTCAGCTTCCTGTTGCCTGCTGCCACCTTCCACTTTTAAGCATTTCCTGTGTGCCTGGCACTTTCACTATCTTACTTAATTCTTACTACAGTTGTCTGACATCTCTGATACTATTATGCTCATTTAAAAAGAGGAACTGAGATCCAGAGGGATGATGATCACCTCAAGTGATACAGCTGAAAGTACCCCAGTAGGACTTAATCTCAGCTCACCAATTCTGGATCAAAGTTGGAGTCTTGAATTTAGCTCAAACACTGTACCACACACCTCTTTTGGCAGACTATGGCTGTTTGCCCCTTGGCAAGCATTGGGTGCTGGGAGATGACAGCACTTGCGTGTTACATGGCATACTACAGAGGCCTCAGAACTGGTAAAGAATCTTGCCCAAGGGGCCCCATTGGGTTACCTTGCTCCATGCAGTCAGTGACCAGCCACCCGCCAGACCAGTCTGTGGATTCCTGCTGGGACACAGAAGGGGACAGAATGGAAAATTGTTGGGACTGTTTGCTGTCTCTATCAGGTTTAACTGTCTTCTCTAGCTCAGAGCAGAAAGGGCCCTGTGATAGCTCAGCCCAGCAGGTCCCTTCTGAGCCTCCCAGGGCTATGGCAAAGTCATGGCTGGACAGTGTACAATACTGTGCAAGGCCAGGTGTAGGAAATGTCCCAGTATCACCTTCTTCTCCTCCCAAATAGCAATGTAGCAGTTGGCATTTCTGCTACGGCCAAGCCCCAGGGAATCTGTACAGGGTTAGGTCAGAAGCCAAGCTCTGCGATTTGGGAAATTAGCAGTATTTGTGGGGTTCTCAAGAGAGTGCCTGGTTTCTCTCAGCCACACCTGCAGTTCTAAGTTGGGTGAACTCCTGCCTCCTACAAGGCATGCGCAGATGTGTGGGTGAGCCTGCAGTTGTCACAATGACAAGGGATCCTCAGTATTAACCTGATGGGATCCAGAGTTGCCGTAGATCCTGCCCTGAGCTGGACAGTCAGGCATGCTTACTGCCTCTGCTTCCTCGGAAAGCCCCCTTCCTCACTGAAGCCCAGGCTAAATGGAGGGGAACTAAAACCAGGCTTCTGTGAGTGACCCATGGCCAGGTGGTATGCCCCCATGCACACAGGCATGTGTGACAGGCACACCTTGTTTTGCACCACTTTGATTCTTCATGCACAGCTCTTGCATTAGTCAGGCCCCCTGGGTCAAGGATACTGAAGATCTGGGTGGTGGAAATTTGAAATTTCCAGGGGGAGGCTCCTCTACTGTGGCTCTCTGGGGCCTGGCAGGAGGTCCCCTGCAACCCACCCAGCATAGAGACATGTCGCTTTACATCAGGGACCCGCTCTGGGGCCTTCCTCCTCCTCCTAGGCATCCGCAGGTTTTTGTTACCTGTTTTTCCCAAATGCAGTGTGTTTAGTTAGACCCTTGGTATTAGGCTGTTCCTTTTATAGCTCAACACTCTTTTCTTATTTTGTAGTTGGAAAGACGTCTCTGATCACGAGGTTCATGTATGACAGCTTCGACAACACATACCAGGTAAGATCTTGCGTCCCCAGCCTGTGCCATACCAACCCCAACGGGCTGTGGAGGCCACCAGGAGACCACAGCCAGCCTCTCCCTGGGACTTAGAAGGCAGGGTTCACAGTGCAATGGCCCCAGGTTCCTGAGGTGTCTTTTTGATCTGGAGGAGCTCCTCCTGCCCCACCTATGTACTGGCCCCAGCCCTGTAAAGATCTGAAGATCCAGACTTAGAAAAGGAAACAATTTCCAGAGATAAATTCTAAAAATAGAGAGGGGCTGCATTTCTGTCTGCGTTCTCTTGCTCCTCACAGACAGAGCTAAATCGTTGTAATATGTGGTTACTTGAAAGGGGAGTCTTGCCCGTCAGCAGAGGAGCAAGATAAAACATACAAGAGGTGAAGTGTAGAGCATGAGGGGAGCCTGTTCCTCAGGGTATTTCTGTGGGGCTTTGCATACACACCCCCAGCACACAGAGCGGTGCTGAAGCACTCCTGCCTGAGAGAGACTTGTGTGGTGAACTTGCCTGCACTCTGGGGAGGAGGCCAGACAGAGTGACCTCCATGACGCCCAGCTCTGGAATGTTGGTCGGTGTTTTCCACAGGTGGCTGTATGTAACTCAGAAGCTGAGCTCTCAGGGGTTGTAGTCTGGCGCTGCTGGTGGTGACTGGGGATGAGGGTAGTAGGGGTGAGGGTGGTGATGGTAGCTTGGGGGTGGTGGTGTACTGGGGAAATGAAGTTCCCTTGCAGGCTTTTTGTAAAAGGCATCAAATTTAAATCGTTTAAACTATTCTTTAAATATACCGTTTTCTCCCTTAACATAGGGATAAGTGATAATGCATTTCTCTAAGCTCATGGGCTACTAGTTCTAAGAGATGTTAATTGAAAAAAAAGGGAGGATGGTGTGGAGCTGGAGGGCTCTGGAGGGACGGGAATGGTGACACCTTGGTGCAGGATTTCTTGGGGTCTTGTCTTCATCGGTGTGGGCTTTGGTTTGCCAAATTACATGTAGTAGGTGTTTTGTCATGGACTTTCTTTGTCATTGAGTTCTCAAGGACAGGTACTTGCAGACTCACTGGGGACTGATGTTCTGAGAGCTTCCTCCTTGTTGCCTGGAGAGGAGTGGAGGAGCTTACTGTGGTTCCAGCTCTGCGTCTACCTTTTATTCTGTCCATCTTCTCGGATATCCTCAGAGAGCCCCCTCTACTTTATCTCCCTCCCGACTTACCTGCTGCAGTCAGAAGCACTAGCTTACCCTAGCCTTGGTAGGAAATCACTGCAGGGAGAATGGGTGGCTATGGGAGAGGGGCCCTGAGTGGGTCACACAGTCCCAGGCTAGGGCTCCAGGATGTTGGTCTTGGCCATGCTGTTGTGACCTCCAGGCCAGGTACTTGGCCCCACAGGCTTGCCAGCAGCCTCCTCCTGATAAGGGGAGTTCTAGGCCACTGTGTACCAGAGGTAATTGCTCTAACAGGCTCTAAAGTCAGTCCTGTGTATGTATGAGAGTTTAATTTTTTTGAATATTAAGTTACTTACCATGCTGCCTGTTGGCATCCCTTGGAAAACACTGAGATTCTTGGCTGGTTGGTGTTCTTGGCAGTGGTGGCTGAAACTCTCTTGAAATCTTACCCACTTCCATCTCCAGTGTTACCCCATTGTCCCCTGCTTGTCATGCTCCCCAGCACTGCTGGCACCCCGTGCCGCAGCACTGGCGTATACCCCACGACTCAGAGCCTTGCTGCTGCTGGCCTGCCCTTTCCTCTCTGTGCTTGCTGTGAAAATGCATCTGACTCAACCAGGCCCAGGGCAAATGTTTGCTCCACAAACATTTTTTTGCAAACATGTTTGCTCCCTCCATGACCTGCTCTGCCCAAACTACTTTGTCCTCAGGGCCAATTTCACTCCCCAGTCTTGGGTCATTCCCCTAGGCTTGGCCAAGGCAGGGACCCTTGGTGGCCATAGGTGGCATTACAGGTGCCCACTGTTGTAGAGTGGTGTGAAGGGGCTCTGTGTACCTTGGATTTTACACTGCATCAGACTGAGAGGCCACAGTGCCCAGTGTCCTGGCGGACGTGAGAAATTCCAAAGAGAATTCTCTCCCATTGCAGGCTTGTCTGACATTGTGTGTGTGTGTGTGAGTGAGTGTGTGTGTGTGCACATGTGTGGCAGCAGGTGAAGTCCTCCTCTAACACCCTTTGAGACGGCAGTCAGGCTGAGAAGCTAGCTGCCACTTCTGTGCACACACAGATTCTACTTAGTGAATTCTCTGGAGATGGAGAAGGGAATATGGTGTTTTGTTTGTCTGTCTTAGCATGGTACAGGGGTTTATGGGAAGTAGGCAGGGTCCCCAAGGGCTGTAGGGGATTAACTTTTACCTCCTCCCGGGTTGTTCTTGTGTGCAGTGACCACCCCTCCACCCCACTGTAATCCTCTATCCATCAGCCAGTACAGCCCTGCCAAGCTGGCCCTGCCTGCCTTCCACAAGGATCCCAGACAGTTCCCAGGCTGGAGTCTTCCCTCTGTCCTTCTTGTGAGTCTGGTCCTAACCGCCCGCCCATTCTTTCAGACAGCAGACCCGGACCTGGGGCTTACTCTGTTTGCAGAGCAGGCCTGCTGTGGAGCTGCGGAGGGCTGAGGCTGACCCTCTCAGCAGCTGTGGAGGGCTGACGCTGACCCTGGCTGACAGTCAGCGAAGCCCCCTTGGGTTGGACATGCATGTGGCCCTAGGAGCTCCTGGGTATGTGGTGCTGGGGTCCTCTTGTGAGGTACTACCTGCCTGCCAGGCTCCAGTGAGGTGCCATCTGCTCGCCTGGGTGCCTCGGGGGACCAGGTCTTCTGCTTCCTGACATCTCCCCACGCCCAAACACACACACACACACACACACACACACACGCATACCTTTGTGCTTCTCTTGACACGTGTACTGTGGCCTGTCACCACTCTGCCTGTCACCCCATCTAAACCCATTTACTTGCAAAAGTGCAAAGTGAAGAGTTGAAGTCAGCTGAGCTCATGTTTGCTGTGACGCTCTTAGGTAAAGCCCCAGCTGAGAAATTACCTTCAAAATGTATTGTAGAAAAAGCCTCCCAGCCTGCATTGTGGTGAGACGTGGCCCTCTCTGCCTCTGTCTTCTCTACCTCCATCTTCTTGTGGTCTGAGTACAATAGGCACAGGCAGGTGCTCGTGCGCGTGAACACACACATAATGCTGGACTCTGACCCCTTGGCTTTCCCTGAGTGCGTCTTTGGCATGGACCCATTCCTTCCAACAGTGCAGCTGCTGAAAACCCTCCGTGTCTTTCCGCCTACTCCCACTCTCCTCTCCCCAAAGTCTTTCCACGTCCTAGAGCAGCCAGTGATCCCTACCTTGCCTGGAACTCCACATGCTCAGAAGACCCTGCCTCTAACACTATTATCTACCACACACTTCGCAGGCCTCAGGCACCAATGCAGAATGGGAGTGAGCAAACAGGTACCTGGATGACAGCTGTGCTGTTTGTTGTGATGTGAGCACTGTGACCACACCAGGTCACCGCCTTGGGCAGCTGCAAGGCCTCACCTCCTGACACAGGAGGTGATAACAAACAGCCTGCTACCGCACGTGTGCCACAGGTTCACCACCACTGAGCATCGAACCTGCCCAGGATCTGGCTCCTTAGAGATCTGTTGGCCCATAGGAGCAGGATGTATTAATTTGAGTGGTCCCGTCGTGGAAGAAAATCTGTGCTATCAACACTGTTAATATAAAAGCACATTATAGAAAAGCCAAAACAAAAACAATGGAAATGCTACTGCAGATTAATTTGATAATGCTGAAGTAAATAGCCTGTCAGTGTGTCCTTGGGAAGACTGTGGGTGTCCCAGCCATCCCTGTCTCTGCACTTGGGCAGTGTTTTACAACTTGCTGGATGATCTTGACCCCCTAGACTGCTGAAGAATGCTAAACTCCAGCCTCAGTTAACTCTAGCCACATAATAAGCTCTTTATATTAATGCTGCAGAGTTCCATCTTTGCCAGGATCAAAATGTGAAGGTGAAAACCTTACATGAAATGTAGATACCAGTTAGTATGGCAAGATGACCCTTGCATTGGCCATCAGTGTTATATAACATTGCTGTCACCTGCCTTGTTGCCATCACTGTAATACATAAATCACCTTTAATGAGGGAAGATTTATTTGGGCCCATGGTTGCAGAGGTTTCAGCCCATGGTCAGCCAGCTGCGTTTCTTTTAGTCCTGTGGCAAGGCAGAAACATGGCAGAAGGGCATAGGAGAGCAAAGCTGCTCTCCTCCTGGTGGCCAGGAAGCTGAGAGGGGAAGGGGGAAGGGTCAGAGCCTGAGGACAAATTGTACCCATCAAAGGCACATCCCCAGAGGCATACTTCATCCCGCTAACTGGTGTCCACCACCTCCCTGTACCGTCATTAGCTGGAACCAAACTTTCAACACATGAGCTTTTAGGGGACATTTAAGGTCCAGACATAATCCACTGGAGCACCACCAGCCATCCAGGTGCTCCCTCCAGGCAGTTACCTGGACTGCTCTGCAGGCATGCAGATTTTCCCTGCCACTTCTCTTCTGGCCTTCTTTCCCCCTCATTGTCAGTACAGAGAGATAGGAAAAGATTAACAGTGGTCCACATGAAGATGAGTTTGGGCTTCCCAGGTACAAGAAGTCATGGCAGGACTTCCAGTTGACGTGCTGCTCAGCACTGCTCTTACTCTGCTCCACCTCCTTGGCATGTGGGCTCTCATCTTCCTGCAGGCCGGCGGCTGCTGCTGCGGCTCCAGACACCATGCCCATACTCGAGACAGAAAAAGGAAGTAGCAGTTTCCCCAGACCTCTCCTCTGGCAGACTGCTGCGTTTGTCTTATTGGCCAGGTCACATGAGCACCCTTATCCTCTAGAGAGGGTGGAGAAGCACAGTTTAGCTTTTGCAGTCTCTAGAGTCCAGCAGGGCATAGGTGGTTGCTCTGGGGTACTGGCTGAACCTACCAGTAGCTCCTGATATATTTAAT